TGGCAGCGGGAGTGGCTCATCTTCCAAGGAGGCAAAAGAGAGGATTGGCTTGCAGAGGATATTTGGTTGGACTTCCAAGCCCTAGTGTGTGTTTTTTTGGGTGGGTGTTTGAGAGATTCACCCACCACAAACTCACCCAAACCAAGTTTTTTTTTTTTTTTTGCATCTTTCCCGAACAAATCCACCATTATTTAATTGACTGGTTTTCAAAAATCCACCATGTTGAAAACATGTTAACTCTCCACCCCTCACCTCTTAGGTCACATTAGTGAAGAATTTAACTTGACCCCAATACTCAAACTGCTCATACTTAATTTCCAACTTAAGCTGCAAGCCCCTCCTTTGGACGCTTGCTTTGTGATTCCCCAAGTACACATATCAATCCTCATAGCGTGGCTCAGTCTACTTAGCTGAGGATTAGACCTCCGTGAATGCGGTTCCTCATTCAAGTGGACTACGAGGGTGCACCCAGAGTTGTTGCCTTGACTCTTTTTTTTTTGATCAGTTCCTGTTCTTAATATTTTGGCTTCTGCTCCGATACCCAATGGTGAGGGGTGAAGCAGAGTCAACGACTCAACAGTCGCTCAACCCACAAATATGCTCTGCAATCCATCGAGAAGCCGACTGGGGAAGCGAAGAGTTGGCTGCGTACCTGATCTGCAGTTACCCACCCCCTCCACTTTGACCGCTGCGATGACATCGTAATAGGGAGGTTGACGAGGGAGCCGTTATAACACACATCATTTAGCGGAGCCATCGGCTCGAGTCGAGAGAAGACGTAGTAAAAATAAATAAATCATTGACTAATGAGTCCGATGGTAGGTTTACTCTGTCGTTCCCAACTATGCCGGGTAGCCAGAAAACCGAAATGCTCCTGTCTGCAGACTCAAGAAAAGAGAAGAAGTACTTTTATTTGTCGAGGCCTTGTCTCCCCAAATGCGAATCCTCGCTTGCCAACAGTAGATCCTCCCATCGCACAGCCGATGAAAGGAGAAGCGACTGGCTCTACATCTTGCCCATTTACACAATCAATATTCAACATCTTGAACCAGGCCAGGACTGGGAACCAAGCTCCCATGTACCGCCATTCATTGCAAAGCTTTGCGAAGATACTCCTTGCCTTTGTTTTTCTTGCGGTTATTGGGACCCTCTGGCATCTTTAATTTCACTTTTTTTCATACACAAAACAATCTATCGCATTGATCCACAAATTAACGCTGGCAAACAAGTAAAAAAAATGTTCACGAAGCCGATGAAGTTGTGGGTATATTAATACTCATCAAACCGCAATTTTTTCCTAGGATAAGCTTCGTATTCATTGCTCTCGGGATCATTCCCTCTTCTGCCTTGTCGGCAGTACAAGCAATCGGCCCATCTCTCAATCGGTAGGTTCTTGTTCTCCCAGTCAATTCAATGCTGCTTTCTTAGCAATCGCCTCAACTAGAAATATTTACGAGCTTGTCACTTGACCTTTGAACCTTCACAAAGCTTACAGCTGATTACAGCTGATAGGAAAGACAAAATTTTCTACCAGAAATCGACTGAAAGGAATAGAATCATGGCCATGGAGACCTGGAGAAACAGATATCAACCTTCGACCGCTATAGCCGTTGGCATTAAGTTTCCTTGCCGTTTTCTGCTAAGAAGTTTCAATTTACTTGGTTAGTCTTCAGTGCTGTCAGTGAGATGACCATGGCGGAGATGGTCCAGCATCAACTCATAACCAAAAAATTGTTCCTGGGTGTGTTACGAACGAAATAAAAATACAATCGAACTTGAATAATCTCAAGTAATTTTTCTGTTTTTCTCAACAAATATTCCCAAAACGACCTCGACCAGTCTTCTCAACAATGGCAGCATTTTCAATACCTATAACTCATCATCTACTGCCGGTTTTGCTTCGTCCAACAAATCGAGAATTCCTTGCTTCATCAGCGACGTTGGTATTAATAAAGGAAATAGCAACGCACTCGAGTGGAAGCAGAAAATTAGCTCGCTTTCGATCCAGAGGTTTTCGGAGGTGGCATGCCTTCATGATGCGGTAACTCATATTTACTTTCTCGCCTTGTTACAGAGGGATAAACAGAGGCGCCGAAAAAAGTGATAGAATAGTGCAATCAATCTAATTTTCCTGTTTTCTTAATTTTCTTGCTTTTCCATTTCCTCTTGTTGCCGGATCATCCGCCCAACAGAAGCAACCAATACCAGGTATACCAGAGCTGATTTTGAATGGGATCACTTATGTAAGTCCGATTTCGAACCCTTCTAGCTGACTGGCTTGGCCAGTACCACTTCAACGTCCAGGAATTCACTGGAACGAGGATGGAAGAAGAATATCGACGGGCTGATGAAGGCTGCGCTTTGAGAGAGTAGTCGTCCATTGATTTCCAAAGCTCGTTAGCCCACACGAGCTCAACGGGATTCGCAATCGATAAATTCATATTCGAATTGAAGCAAAAAGTGGCGTACGAGAAATCATCCAACAGTTCAAAAACCGATGGACATAGTTCCATAATTCAGCCAGTCAAAAGCCGGAAGAATGAAGGAATGACGGACGTCAAGAAAATTCAACAAGCGAGGAGGGATGAAGTTTTACTACTGACCACATATTGGAAAATCTACGGTGCCATGAACATTGCTCTCCGAGTCCTGAACAACCAGTCTTCAGGGAAAATTTTGAGCTTATCCGAAGGGTGTGTCTCCGTTCACAGCGGACAATGGGTTGCGTCAACAAACCAAGTTTGCTAAGAGAAGACTTCCCTTTCTCGAAATCACAAAAAAAAAAAAACAGCCCGGGATATGTCCTCAACTTTCAAAGAGCCAGATTGGAGGGTAAAGTGGAAGAAATCGAATTCTATTTGGACCAAGTGCGCCCTCCAACAGTACAAAAAGTGTTACATATGAGCTTCAAACAAACGTTTTTTTATTTGACTTCCGTAGATCATGAGGAATTGTGTGAATTGCACTGGGATCGAAGCCCGAAGGTTGATGATGCTAGCAAGAGCCAGCGGAGTCGAGATGAAGCAATCCTCATCTCTTCCTAAGGAACCCGTTAGCTCCGACAGTAGTCATTCTCAATCGACTGGCGATATTCGCCAATGGACCCGTGTCTACGCTCTCTTTTTGTACATCTCGCTATTTCCCTTCTTCATCTGACAGGCATAGCATTTTTCTTAACCTTTCATAATAGCACCGACTTGTCCCGAAAGCGCAACATTCTGGTTGTGGAGGAAGACCAGTGTTTCGTTGTATACTCATCTGCTTTGTAAGAGTTTGTAATAGTTGCTGATTAAGACAAGATAATATTGTCTGATAACGAGGACAGCACCACCCCAAAATCTCCTTGTGTGAGACCGATCGAGCTGCAGCGATAGGTAGTCACGGCTCACAGATAGCGCAAAACACGAGGTAAGAGCATGACAACGTGGCCGAGCGGTTAAGGCGATTGACTAGAATATTCATTCTAAGATTCTATATATTGACAAGTCTATCATCAATTGGGATTTTCCCGCGTAGGTTCAAATCCTGCCGTTGTCGTAATCTTTTGGGTTTTTTTCCCGGCCAAATCAACAAAAGGTGCCTGAGGGAATCCAGTTAAAAGAGCCTCCAGGTTAAGACATGTGTTGTATGTTGGGTGCCTTCACGAGTACACGTACTTGGCTTTTTGTAATTTTTTTTTTCAAGTGCTGCAATTTCACCGCAGCATTGGACACTGAATCTTCAACATCACCCTACATCCATTCCCTATTTTGTCTCACGTCTACACTGTTTAAAGGGGTCTCCTGTGTTGGAAACCCTTCCTAGGAGGACCTGGGGACACCTATGTGTCCCCCAAGACTCCAGTGCGCTGCGAACTAGCAAGACGTGCCTCTGCGTGAAGAGCAATCCAATTGAGACAGTCAATTTTGGAAACTCAAAGCAGATAGACAGAAAGCGGCTGAATTGACCAATCTCTTCACCCAGCACACCCAGCATATTCCTGAGGGATGCACCATCAACTCAAAACAAGGCCTCTTAAGGAGAAGAAACGGCCTCATGTAAATAAATTCTTGATGAGTGGGAGCACACTTTTGTTGGTAAGATGAGTGTGCTGCACTCCTGTGCCAAAGCCAAAGAGGGCTGTATTCAGGGAGATAGCTCCAAACAAGCTGTGTCAGACTGCTGCTACTGTACATAGGGAACCTGTCACCTTGTGTAGGCTTATGGTTTGGTTTGCTCCAGGCCCCACGTCGTGGCAGTCTGGAGGAGGAGTGGACAACCATCCACCCGGGATGGGTTGACAGAAAGATCCGGACATGGCATTTTAAGAAGGGAGACCAAAGGGTCCAGAGTGCCGGCCAACACAGTGGGAGTTTCTTCTGCTGTGGAGCTTATATAGGTGAGGGGGTGACTGCGGGTCTCAGCAGTTGCTGCCGCTGATGACATGGTACACGCAGAAAGCTGAGGCGGAC